TGTCCTTTATATAGATAACTTTCCTAGATTATCATTGCTCTACACTGCATATTAAGAACAAATTTATGCTACTTTTCTTCATTTTAAATCCATGATTCATACTCAATTCAACACCAGGATGGAAATTGATTCTACAAACCTTAACTCTCATCAAGACTAATTCTAAAACCTAAACCCTCATCAAGATTGTTCTAAAATGTCTCCCTTGCACCTTTTCAAATATCCATAAAGTACTTCCATGCTTACTTTTTAAATATCTATATACGTTTTATTCTTTTCTTTTTCTTTTTTTAAATAAAAAGAAAAGAAAAACTAAGAAAGAAAGAAATATACTTAACACTTCCCTAAATTCTTATTGAATTCAACCAAACAACCTTCTGATCAATTCTAAGAATCTGGAACAGAGTTTCCCACTTCTTTTTGGGAAAGAGATGCTCTAGTTGAGACTAGAGAATGATTCACAATAATCAAGTTTTTTGGTTTTGGATTTAATAATAGCAAAACGGCATGATTACCACCCATGATTATTTCTCCCAGTAGAGTAAATAATAATGCCAGAATCTACTTTCCCTTAGCCGGACTCTTTCACTGCCTAAAAGCTAGTATCCAACAAAATCTAACACAAAATAAAATGAATAGGAATAAGAGAAAGAGAATGGTGCTAGTACGTGGAGCGCGCTTTCTCCCATGGTTGTTCATCAATGGACTCTTCCCATATGACACGATCTCCCAAGCATTGGTGGCAGGTCACTATACCCTGACAACATGAGGTAACGGTAAACAAACAAATAGAAACCGGCAGAACAACCAACATCTCCATGCTTTATGATTATTCCCAAATCCAAGAGCAAATGCTACTAGATTAAACAGTTTTGACGAGTATTTCAGGTCCTAGAAATCTTCCGACAACCATCTGTTACTATACATTAAAGAGGTTGATCATTAGGCCATCTAAGTTCAGTCTTAAAGAGGTCTGTATCCTTGGGCACCCTTATTTTACATGTTAAATTCCATCACTATGGTGTTTTGTGCGAGCAGAAAACGAGAAGTTGACTAAATATCAACCACATAGTTCAGATTAGTCTGCTAGAGCATATACCTTCCCATTACACACGGAACAGTCTGCTCGGGATCTTTCAATTCCACATTCCGTACACGGCGCATAGCCCCTACCTCGGCAACTTGGGCAAGGTAGTTCTTTAATATACTGACCATTCGGGCCAAACCAGGACCTGGGTTCAGGTGCGCTGGAAGCTGAATTCCTGACATGCACAATAAATTTCTAAGTTCTGAATTCAAATCACAAAGGATTAACGCCCAATAGTAGCGTAACTGAATACCAGATACTAAACCTTGGGTTTAAATCGACGCCAAGTCCGTACAACTCCTCCGAAGGATCGAAGGCCAGCTGCGATAGAAAATGAAAACCAGAAGAAGCAAACAAAAGAGGTGAAATGCGAAAACAAAGTTGGAGAGAATGAGTACCGGCGAGGGTTTGGGGATTGCAACAGAGTCGTCGTTGGTCAAGCAAGCAACGAAGCGAGGCGCGAAGCATAAACATCTCTTGGATTGAAACAATGCGAATCTGGAGTTGTTGGGGCGCCCGTGGTGCGGCGGCAATGCCCGAATTGACGAGCAGATTGAGGAGGACATCTGATAAATTTGTTTGGAGTGGGAATGCGTTACATGGGAAGAAGAAGAAGAAATACGCACGCTGCTACGAGCGGCCACAGCGCGAATTGAAGAACCAAACTGGAAATGGTGGGCGTTGGAACGAAAGATTTTGGCTTTGCATGTGTGGTCAGAAAATGCCACACGCCGTCGCGGTATTGTTGACGTGGTTGGAACAAGCACGACATCTTTCACTATTCCATCACACTCTCACTCCATGTTGACTGGATGGTCTGAAATTTTACAACCAAAATACTTATGCTTGGTTGGGGAAATGGACAGATACGACTTAAAATAATTTTCAATTTGCTTAAACGACCTAAAATCTAATTTTTAACTTTTTTGACCCAATTTACTTTATTCAATTAAATAATGTAGGTTGAAATGACGATTTTAGCCTCGATATTGCGTGTAAAACATGTCGGAGGAGTGTGTCAACGAAACACGAACAAACAATGCCCTGGAATTTATTGAAGCATTGTTCATCGGCGTGGTTGACGGGGGCACACCACGGTCGGGAAATTCAAAATCATGGCCGTGAAATGGAATTTACAGTTATACCCCCCATTTTAAATTCTAACCGTTGGTATCCTTTTCATCTTCCACACTTCAATTTCTTGCACTTTCGGTTTCCCTCGTTTCCATTTGTTCCATATTGCAGACTTTTTCATTGCCTACATAGTTCTGGGTGTTTTTTGCTCTGAATCTCATCTCATTTTTTATTTAAGGTTAGGATTTCATATTGTTCGTATTTGTGTCGCTGTTAGTTAGGGTTAAAAGAGCAATTTTTTTCGGTTTCGTTTCTGTTTTGGTCTTGGTATTTTCACTCTCCCCTTTTTTTGTGTTGCTTTTAGTGGATTCAATTTTAGGGCTTAATTTCGGCACTATCTGAACTGTTTTTGGTTGATTTCATTAGCGAGCATCSTTAGTTGTTCGTTTACATATTTAGGGATTCCGTTTTTACTGTATGTCTGGGCGTTTTATGTGCATATATGTAGGATTGGTTGTGTATATGTTATTTGTATGCTTTTTGGCCCTTGAAATTTGATTTGGTTAAGGATTATTGCCCGAGGTAGGGTGAGGTCGAGGACTATTTCGTGAATTTTTGGCCCAAACTCGGGCGTGGTGCGACCGTGGATTGCAATGGAATAAAACTGAGTTCTGTAATAATTCACAGTCACGCTAACGACCGAGGTAGACCGTGATTTATGAAAAGATCACAATCCTGATCGAGGCTCAATGGGAATTGCAATTTTGTCACAACTCACGGTCAAGACCATGGCCGTGAACGTGACCGTAATTTTCACAGAATTGCAATTCTCGTGAAGATTGTCATGGTTGGACCTATAATTCGAACCCGATAGCGGCCGTGGTTGGACCCAGAATTTTAACAGTTTTATGCATATTTTTTATGTTTTTTGTTGTTTTGTGTGCCATATGTATTTGTGTTTAGCTTATTGAAGGGATGCGAATCCCGGAGCGAAAGCGGATTTTCGTTGCTGATTTTAGGGGTACAAAATCGAAATTGAAAGAGGGAAAATATAGAGGAAATACGAACCTTTGAAGAACGTTTCTTGAACGAGTTTCCCTCGAACACCACCACTGTGTCTTCCTCGCTATCCTCTTGGGTCTCGGGATCGTGCTGGTGGGAGCAATCCTTTGAAACGAGAGGAAGAGCTTGAGAGATATCTTCTTGATTGAGAGAGAAATGGTTGGGCGTTGTTCTTCTTTTGTTCTGTGTTTTGCAGAACTGCAAAAACGAAACAGAAGCAGTGACGTGGGTAACTCCCACGTCACACTAACCTCCCACTCCCCTCAAAAGTTTAATATTATTAATATTAATAATATATATATAATATAATATAATATAATATAATAATAATTATAATAATATATATATGTAATAATTAATATATATATAAAATTAATTAATCAAATTAATTAATATAAATAATTATTAATCCAATTAATAATTAATAAATATATATATATATACATAAATAATTAACACTTAATTATTTATTATAAAATTAGAATCATATTCTAAAACATTTCTCTCGTATAACCTATAGTTTTA